TGCAAATGACCCCCTTTTTTCCCCCCATAACGTTCGTAATGTTGTTTGTTTTGCTTTCGTTCATATTGTGCCATGCCTCTCCGATGCATGCGCTCAGCTGGCTTGTAGCTTTGTTTAGCTGAGGCTCCATGGCCTTCGGCGACGCTTCGCGTGCAAGAATATGCACTTGAGATATGTCGTCTACATGCACCCCGATGCCTAAGTCATCCTCGTCGTAGTCTTCATTATCCTGGTAACCCGCCGTCAGCACGCTCTCAGCGCGCAGCCACGTATCTGCGTGATCGCGTTGTGATGGTTGCTGGTTTGATTGGGCTCCTTGCAGCGCGTGTGCTGATATGAAGCCCCCAGCTGCCATCCCCCGCCACACAGTCGTTCCCCTTGTTGGTTCCATGTCTACGCTCCCGTCTATGCCCTCTGCGCGCACGACTGGCTGGACTATGGCCTGCATTGAGGGCCCTACAATGTGCTCGTACTGCTGCTGCGCATGTAGCTGCCAAAGATGCCCCCTCCTCGCGCTGACAAGCTCGTTCGACCCATCGAAGCTGTTCTGCGCGCGGCTGCGCTTCAGGTCTCTGCACCGCCATGCTGCCGAACTGAGCGCTGGCAAGGTGCCCTCTCGTCGCCGCGCTGCAACCCCTCCGTGCGCGAATAATGCAAACCTTGGCTGAGGCTTGGGTCCCTTTGCTAGCTGTCCAGACCAACTCATGCCACACGCACCGAAGCAATGAAGCACCCACTTGCCTTTAATCCCTGGCTCCTCGTTAACTTTGGCCTGTGCGAGTATTTGCGATCTCAAGAGAACTTGGTGCTACTTTGCCTGTTCCCCTGATGAGTGTAACGAACTGCTAAGACTTGTGCAAGAACTCCAGCGGCGCGGTGACTTTGACCCAACCGTCACCGCTGGGGTCCTCCTTCGCGTGATACTGTGGTGATAGAAGTTGCAGCAGCGCCTCCGCATATACTCCCCACTTCGGCGTCGCACGCCTCTTCGGCGCCGTCTTCAAGTAGGTGATCTATCCGTCCAAATCTGCGCGTGCCAGTTCGATCCCTCGGTGCCGTTCCAGCACCTTTAAGTAAAACTTCCACGTCCTCGTGTCCTTTCCCAATTCATCGTGTCCGCGTTCGTGCCTCTAGCGTGCGGTTGAAGCTGCAGTCCGCTGACCCATTCATTGATACGCATAATTACCCTGCCGATCTGCGAAACTATTTTTTCTGTCCAGGGCTAGTGGGCGCAAGACTGCTCTTAATATAGCGCAAATGTGCTTCCACACTCCGATGAGCTCCACGAGTAGCCGATTTCGGTTATCTGCTGTTTGTTGTCGTCGTAGCGTTTGTATCCGTCTGGTGATCGAGGTAAGCTGCTGGTTAATCTCCTCATACTCGACGCCCTGCGCCTCGAAGCCTTCCTCGCGTAATCTGCCGCGACGTCGGAACAACTCCATCCGTCTCTGTTTTTGCTCCATGTATGCTTGCGTCCGCAGTGGCCCAGGCGGGAAGATCTCGTGCATGCCTCCTCTTACTGCACCTCTAATGTGATCCCAAACCGCTTAAACATTGTGTTTCTGCATCTTTGTTTGGTATGTCAAGTCGTCTTCTCGGGGCTTACGTTGCAATGCTTGGAAGTACTCCTCTCTCAACGTGCCTGCCGTCAGTGATGCCATCATCGTGTCTCGGTTGGCCGGCGGTGAAAGGTTCGTGACCTTGTAGATCGTCGTCGCCACGTAGAGCTCCACGTACACAGGGACATGGTCCTCCAGCGCGGCATTTCGCTGTAACTGCAATCGCCTCCCAAAGCGTATAAGTGCGCTCAGCTTCTGAATGCTCCCTATCACTGTCGTGTGGCACATCGGTTGATCTATCTTAAACGAGGCCCCCCTCTGAAAAAAAACGTCGGTCCTGTACGCCAAAGCATGGATACTACGCTCATGTGCTACTCCTATGCAAACGTCCTTAGTTGTGCCGATACCTTCGTATCGTGCGTGGTCTTGGCTATGGCAACATGCTCGTCTCCTCGCGTAAAACATGCTCCCGTCACGCCCCGCCGATTGCCGAGCCCGCAATTGAAACCTCCTGCGATAATAGGTCGTGTGCTATGTCCCTCCTTCTCGATCTGTTTATCCAGCGCAGAATGCGCGTGCTGGCCTCCTTCAGTATGGTAGGACTTGTGCCTTTTGGCGGGAAGCACACTGGGAAGATGCAGATCGGCTGCCCGTGCGCATACAGTCTTGCTTTGGCAGCCCGTCCCGTGATATCATGTGATCTAGGTGGTGCTACTGCTTGTTGCACTCCGGTACTGGCCGAGCAAGACTGCTGACCCACAACACTTGGCAACGAACTTTGACAACTTCCAGCCAAACTGGATGATCTTGTGATGTATAGGCGATGCCTGCTGCACATCCTGATCAGCATCCGTGTGCCGCTGCGTGCTCGTCACAATCACTATGTCTACGCGTGTGCATTGCATGCGAATCTCCTCCAGGCGAGTGTAGTCTGCGCTCTGCGCGTTGAAACTCCATGATCTCGAACACCATCTGAGCGCCTCCGTGGCGCCTCCCCCGTTCCTGTGCTCCTTGTTGCCCCTAGGCCGCCTTCGGCCCAAGGAGCGCCATCTTCGTTCCCAAACAGGATCTGTGGGAGCGGGGGTGCTGAAGCTGCCTGCTGCGTTTTTTCCAGCCGGCATGGCAGCTGGAGAAGGAGGAGGAGGAGGAGGACGAGGAGGAGGAGGAGGACGAGGAGGAGGAGAAAGAGGGGGGGAGAACGGAGACCAGCAGCAGTTCATTAAAAAACGAGGGTCCAACCAGCGGGGGTTGGGACAAAAGCGACCCAGAGGTAGGCAACTCTTGGGCTTGGTACTCTTACTATTGCGTGACATCTTGCGTACACGTACACGTGCCAGGGCGATTCGATCGTTTTCCAGGACGGGGAGGACGGCATGGGCGATTCGGTCGTTTCCCAGTTCGGCGTCGAAGGCCGCTGGAGGACCAAGCAACATCCCCGTCTCTCATCACTTCCTGTTCCTGCCGCATCTCCTCCCGAGGGAGGGAAGAGCAGGGGACAGGCAAGGGGGGAAGGGAGGTTCGTGGATGCAGGTGATGATGTGACCCAGGCGCGAAGGAAGAAAGCGACCACGCCAAGGATCGAGGGATCCCGGCAAAACGCAGGTATGATACATGGTGAGAGACCGAAGCTGGAAGAGAGACCGTCGTCGAGGCTGTCCCTGGGCAGGGGGCGGGCGAGGGGGGGGCAGGCGAGGGGGGGGGCAGGAGGGGCGGGGGGGGGAAGACGCGGGAAGGAAAAAATGGGAGGCGGGTGAACCTGGTGCGCCCCGCCGCAGGCCTTCCGGGCACGGGACTCAAGGGCCGCTGGGACGCGTCGGCTCGCCCTGCCACGTGCCACGTGGGCGCGGATGTCACGAGCAGCGGGACTTTCGAGGCAAGTGTGTCGCTACTTGCCGTCTCCCGCAACTTCTGCTCCTCGGAGAGCTTGGCCACAAGCTCGGACGCACGCTTCTTCAGCTGCTCCGTCTTCGCCTTCGCGGCCGAGCATCTCCAGAGCCCGCTGTGGCTGCTCGGCGTCACAGAGAGATAACTCCAGAAAGATGACGTCGGGCTCCAGCTTCACACCTCGCTCGGCAGCGCCACAACAACCAGGGGCCAGTGTGCGCCCTTCTCGGACGGGCTGGCCCCTGCGCTGTAGCTGATGACGCTGGCCTCCAGCATTGCCTCTCACGTCTTGCTGAGCAACACCAGACCCCGCTGCCACTTCCCGCCCTTCTCGCACTCGCTGGTCCCAGCGATGTAGTTGGTGACGCTGGGCTCAAAGCAACACCACCGCCCATTGCCGCTTGCGTTTTTCGCACAAGCTAACCCAAGCGTTGTAGCTGCTGATGTTGTGCCCCAGCGTTGCCTCCTACAGCTCGCTGAGCAGCGTCTGAGCCCGCAACTCCTTTTAGCCTTTTCCGCACGCGCTACTCCCAGCGCTGTAGCTGAGGACGCTCGGTTTCAACTTCGCCTCCCACATCTCCCCGGGTAACGTCCGAGCCCAAATCCCAGCGTTGTAGTTGACGACGGTGGGCTCCAGTGCCGCCTTCCACGTCTCCCTGAGCGCTGCCGCAAGTCGCCCTTCCAGCCCGCGCTGATCCCAGCGTTGTAGCTGATGACGTCGGGCTATCGTGTTGCCTCCTACGTCGCGCAGATCAGCGACAAGACCTGCTGCGACTGCTAGCCCTTCTCGCAACTGCTGATCCCGTCGCGGTGATAAAGACGACGCTGGGCTCCAACGTTCGCGTTTTGGCCGAGTAGCGCCGAACTACGTTGCTACGGTTCGCCCTTGTCGCACGCACTGATCCCAGCGTTGTAACTGATAGTGTCGGGCTCCGATTCCACCTGCCACGCCTCGCTGAGCAGCAACGGGGCATGCTGATATTGATTGCCCTTGCAGCACGCACTGATCCCAGTGCTGCAATTGGTGATGGCATTGGGCCCCAGCAGTGCCTCCCACATCTCGCTGAGCAGCGCCTGCGTCGGCTGCCACTGCCCGTCCTCTCTTGCACCCAATGATCACCGGGTTCAAGTTCTGATAACGTCTGAATCCCAACATCGCCTCCCACATCTCTTTCAACAGCGCCAGAGTCCGCGCCACTGACCACATTTTATTCACGCGCTTTTCCTCAGCGCTGTGGCTGGCAAGCCTGTCGTACCGTCTCTCCGCAGCATAGCGCAGGGCTGTAGCTGGCTGCGTTGGGCTGCAGCTTCGCCTCCCGCATCTCGCTCAGAAGCGCCAGGGACCGCTGCCACTGCTCGTCCTTCGCGCACGCGCTGAACCCAGCGTTGTGAAGCTGGCGACATCGGGCTCCATCTTCGGCTCGCACATCTCGCTGAGCAGCGCCAGGGCCCGCTGCCAGCGTTGAAACTGCCAAATTAGCCTGTCGCATCTCTTCTGCGTAACATAACGACGATCGCAGGGCTGTAGCTGGCTGCGTTGGGCTCCAGCTTCGCCTCCTACATCTCGATGGGCAGCAGAAGCGCCCGCTGCCCTCGCCCTTCCTGCACGCAGTAATCCCAGCACTGAAGCTGATGACGTCGGGCTCGAGCTTCGCCTCCCGCATCTCGCTCAGCAGTGCAAGCGCTGGCTGCCACTGCTCGCCCTTCTCGCACGCGCTGATCACAGCGTTGTAGCTGACAAGGGCTGGCCCCCGGCCTCCCGGCCGCGGAATCTGCCCGCCATGGCGTGGACGTGGTAGTGGAGCGTCTCCGGGGCCTCGCAGGTGAGGGGAGGTTGGAGGGGACGGCGTGGATGGAGGAGGTGGCCGCTGGAGGGGGAGGTGGGCGAGGGATGCACCAGGCAAGCAGGCCTGAAGGCAGGAACGCGGTGGTGGAGGCCGTATTAGTGCAAGCGCACCCATGTAGGCATGACATGGTGTGGACAAAAACTGTTTCTCACGCCGCAATCAGTGTTCATCATAGCTTCTGCTGGGAGGGTAGCCGTGATAAGTTTATCTGCTCTTCGCCGAATGATAATTTCATCTGGTAGCGTGGTGACAATGGGGCCGGCGGACGCGGCCTAAGAGGCCCGCAAAAAGCCGGCGAGACGGCCCAAAAGGTCTCCAGGACTGGCCAAGAGGTTTCCCAGACGGCCCCAGCGGGGGGCCCGCGAACTCCTTAAGACGGGCCCCAGTGCGAGGACACGAATCGACCTTTCGAGCGCACCGCCCCAAGACGTCCCCCAAAGGCGCAGAAATGGCTCCCAGAGTGTCCAAGAATCCCCAAAGACGACGCTGGAAGTTCGACGCTCCCCAAGAGAGAAGGATCCAAGGCCTCGTGGGGGGCAGTTTGGGGGCCTCTTTTCGTCCTCCTGGGAGTCTCTTGGTACCCTTTGGGGCCGTCTTGATGGCCTCGTGGGCCCGTCTTGGGGCGATGTGGCCTGTCGGACCATCTTGGGACCGTCTTGGGGTCATCTTGGGCCGAGCTCTTGGGGCTGTCTTAGGTATTTCTTGAGCCGTCTCGGGCGCCTTTGGAGCCATCCCGGGGCCGTTTCGGGCCGTCTTGGGGGCGTCTAGCACTGTGGGCGATCTGGGGGCCTGTACAGCCAGCCGTCTTGGAGACTGTGCAGACGGAAAGGCTTGGAGACGGGGCGGCGGGGGCCTGTACAGCCGTCTTGGAGATGGGGCGGTGGAGCCGTCGGGCGCTTCTGGAACCGTCCCGGGGCCGTGTGGGGCCTTCTGGGGCGCTCCTGGGAGCCTCTGGGCGCGTTTCGGGCCGAACTGGAGGGCCTGTATAGCCGCCGTAGACGCTGTGAGGACGAAAAAAAAGACATAGTGAAAATGTGCCCGCAGGGACTGGGACGTGCGGGGCCGTTTTGGAGCGCTCCTGGGGGCCTCTGTGCGCGTCTTGGGGGGGGTCTGAATAGCCGTCGTGGACGCTGTGAGGACGAAAAAACAAGATATAATGAACATATGCGTTTTTCGTCGGGAATGGTTTGGGAGCCGCCTGGCCTGCCTTGGGGGCCTCTGGGGTTGTCTTGGGGCTCCCAAGGGTGATCTGAGGCCGTCTTGGTGCCCCCTGGAGCCTCTCGGAGCCGTCCCGTGGGACATAATGAACTGCTCTTGGGGCTGTCTTGGGTGCGTCTTGGGCCGTCTCGGGCGCCTCTGGAGCCATACTGGGGCCGTGTGGGGCCGTTCTGGGGCGCGTTTCGGGGCGAACTGGAGGGCCTGTATAGTCGCCTTGGACGCGGCGAGGCAGAACAAACACATAATGAAAATGTGCGTCTCCCGCAGGGAGGGGACGATTTTGGCTTCTTGGGGCTCTCCTGGAGGCCCTCCTGGGCCGTCTTGGTGGCCGCTTGGCCTGCCTTGGGAGCCTCTGGAGACCTCTTGGCGTTCCCGTGGGGGGTCTTGGGGCCTTGTGTGGGCGTATGGGGGCCCAGGGCTCGGAATGTCAGGGTTGTTCGCTATTCTTTGGCCCCCTCTTGGGCCTGGCTTGGGGTCATCTGGGGCCTTTTTGGGAGCTTCTTGGGCCATCTTGGGGCTCCCTGGGCCGTCTGGGGACGCACTGGAAAGCCTGTTGGGCCGTCCTGGGGCGGTCTTGCGGGTCTCTGCCGCCGTCTTGGAGCGTGGGCTAGCCGAGAAGGCGAGAAGGCGCAAATCCTTCAAAAACAATTTAAACATTAAGGATTTTCGCCTCTGGGGGTATGCTTCGGAGGACTGTTGGAGGCTCTTGGAGACCTCTTGGGCCTTGTTGGGGGCCTCTAGGGGGCCTCTTGGGCGCTCCTTGGAGCCTCTTATGGCCACTTCGGCGCGTCTTTGGGCGGAGGGCTCAGCTTGTGACGCTCGGGGCCAAGATCTTCGTGAGGGGTGTCGAAAAATGGCCCTCCAGGGGGCGCATTGGTCCACATGCGCTGTTTTGCCCTTCTGGCACGCGCTGATGTCCGCCATAGAGAAGACTAAGGCTGACCCGTGGACAACCGTCCACGAATGCCAGATGATTGAGCGTGCGTTTGTTGCTGCTTATTGCTTCAGGGCACGGTGTTTGCTTGATGATCCTGATGGCGTCTGGAGCAACGCTAACAGCAGCGGCTGGGGGCCCTCCGATACCTGGCGGGCCTCCACGTTGGGCCCCCGCCCTGGAAAAAGCCAGCCCGAAGCCTTCGGTTACCTTTTCTGGCCGCCATTCCAAAGTTGGAAGGCAGGCGCTTCCTCCCCTTCGTCCGCCTTCCGCTCCACGTCCGCATGGAGAGCCTTCGGAGCATCACAGACGGCTACGGTGGGTCTGCGGTGTGCCTCCCGCCGCTTGTCTGCTCCCCCTGGTTTGAACCATTTTGACAGCACCTGGGGCCGAGAAAAAAGTCACCCGAAGGGCTCTAGTGACTTTTTTCCGGTTGACTTTTCGAAGCCTGATAGCAGACGCTGCCTTCTGCTCGGGAACTGTTTAGGGAACCTCTCGGGGTTCCTTTTCGGCCTCCTGGGGGCCTCTTGGGGCCCTTTTGGGCCGCCTTGGGTGCCACTCGGGGCCGTCTTAGGCCGTCTGGGGGATGGGCGTCTCTGGGCCTGCCTGGTGGTCCTTGTGGGGGTCTTCTTTGGGCCATTCTGAAGCTTCTTTGGGCTGCTCTGGGAGTGTTTTGGGACGTCTTGGGGCCATTTTGGGCCGTCACGGGGCGTCCGGGAGGCCTTGGACCGTCTTGGAGCTCTCTTGAGGCTGCCTGAGGCCGTCTTGGGAGCCTCTTGGGGCCCCCTCGGAGCTCCCTTGGGGCCGTCTTGGGGTTCTATGAGGCCGTTTCAGGGCTCTCTGGCGTCGTCTTGGAGCTCTCGTGGGCCGTCTTGGAGTCCTCTTAGGGGCCGCTGGCGTCTTCTTGGGGCGATTTGGGAGGCCTGTTGGCATGTCCTGGGCCGCTGAGGAGCACACAAGGCGGGCATGCTGAAAACATATGTTTTCTTATAAGAATTTGACGATTTGTGCATCTTTGGCGTGCGCTCGGGGCCCTCTTGGGGCAACTTTGCGGCCTCTTGGATCGTCGTGGAGCCCCCCCCGAAAGGCTTCGGGCCCTCGTGTGCCGTCTCGGACTGAGGCTGTCTTGGAGTGCTCTTGGACGGTCTGGGAACCCCTCTGCAGCACCTCTGGGATCGGCCTGAGCGATTCGGCCCCGTGGTGGCGCCGTAAAGGGGCGACGTTGTGCACTTGAGGCCCTGGGCGTCTCGCACGCGCTTCCACCGGCCATGTAGGAGAGACTAGGGCTGACCCGTGGACTACGTCCACTTGCGGGGTGAAGGGGTGCTGCTGCAAGGCGATCAGGATGAATGGCGTTATGTTCGCCTGCCACACATCGCTGAGCGAGGAGACGGAGGAGCGTCTGGACGCCCCACCTGGGGCGCTCAAGGGCTCCCTTGGGATCGGGTCGGGCTTTGTCGGTGCGTTGGGTCCGACCTTCTCGGGGCGGTCTGGGGCCGCCCGGGGGCCCTCCGAGGGGCCCCCAGGATCACCAACACGCCTCCAAGATAGCTCCATACTGGCCGCCCGCCCAGAATCGGCGGGACCGATTCTGGGCCACCGCGCCGTCGACCCAGAATCCCGCCCGACGCGCCCTTGGCGGCCACGAGCGCTTCCGGGGTCGGCCGAGGCGATCCTGGGCCACCCGAGGAGCGAAAGACAGCATGGCCCCGAGAGGCTGCGGAGAGGGCTCCAGACCGACAAAAAGGGCGAGGGATTTTGAGGCCAAATCCGGCAGGGAGCGCCAAACAAGCATCAAAGGCCCATGGTGCGCTGGAAGCCGTTTTGGGACCGTCTGTGGCCGTCTTAGGCCGTCTTTGGCTGCTTTTGGTGCTGTCTTCGGTGCTTCATGGGCCGTGATCTTGGGGCCCTTGGGGGTCGTTTTGGAGCCTCTCAGCGCTTCTTTTCGACCTGCTGGAAGCTTCTTGGGCCGTGTGAAAGCGGTCGGGGGCCGTCTGAGGGTTGTCTGGGGCCGTCTTGGACGTCTCTGCAGCAGTATGGGCACCGTCTGGGGGTCGTCTAAGGCCGTCCTGGGCCGCTCTTGAAGCTGTCTTGGCTGCCCCGTGGGCCGACAGGAGCGCCTCAGGAGCCGTCCTAAGGCCATCTTCAGAGGCCCAAGACTTGGGCCTCTGTATGGCCGTTTTGGACGCTATGAAGAGGGCAAGCCCAGGAACTGCCAAAATGTACGTTTTCCCGGGGGAATGAGTCAATGAGGCGATGTTTCAATGTTCGGGCTCTCTTGGGGCTCGTCGTGGAGCACTTGGAGCGTTTTGGAAGCCTCTTGGGCCGCCTGCAGGCCATCTGAAGCGTTCTCGGGGCCGTCTGGGGGTTGCCTGGGTCGGCCATGGGCGTCGCTGGAGCAGTCTGGGCACCGTCTGGCAGTCGTCTTGGGCCGTCCGGAGCCGCTCTTGAGGCTGTCGTGGGTGCCCCGTGGGCCGCCAGGGGCGCCTCAGGAGCCGTCCTAGGGCCATCATGGGACCCTGTATGGCTGGAGCCCACTTGGAGCGTTTTGGAAGCCTCTTGGGCCGCCTGCGGGCCATCTGAGGCCGACGTCTGGGGGTTGCCTGGGTCCGCCTTTGGCGTCTCTGGAGCAGTCTGGGCACCGTCGGGGGGTTGTCTTGGGCCGTCCTGGGCCGCTCTTAAAGCTGTCTTGGGTGCCCCGTGGGCAGCCAGGGGCGCTTCAGGAACCGTCCTGGGGTCGTCGTGGGCGGTCTTGGGGCCCTCGTGGGGGCATCTTAGGGCGATCTTGGGGGTCTCTGTGGCCGTCGTGGACGCGTCGGAAACGAAAAGCACGATAATGCCCCAAATGCGCGTTTTCCGAAGGGAATGGACAGATTTTGGCCTTTTGGGGCTCTCCTGGGAGGTCCTGCAGGGCCGTCTTGGGAGCCTCCTGGCCTGCCTTGGGAGCTTCTGGGGCCGTCGAGGCGGCCTCTTGAGCGGCTCAGAGCCGTCTGTGGGCCGTCTTGGGAGCGTCTTGGGGCCCTCTTGGCCCGTCTGGAGGCTTCCCTGGGCGGCCTGGGGCGGCTCGGGGCCAGCCCGAGGGCGGTTTTGCCCCACTGGGTCCCCCGCCATTCTGGCACGCGGTTCCCCCGGCGTTAGAGTATGGATGACGTTTCGCTGAGCAGCACAAGCGCCCGCTGCCTCTGCTCGCCCTTCTTGCACGCAGTGATCCCAGCGCTGTAGCTGATGACGTCGGCCTCGAGCTTCGCCTCCCGCATCTCGCTCAGCAGTGCAAGCGCCGGCTGCCACTGCTCGCCCTTCTCGCACGCGCTGATCCCAACGTTGTAGCTGATGGTGTTGGGCTCGAGCTTCGCATCCCACATCTCGCTTAGCAGTGCAAGCGCCCGCTGCCACTGCCCGCCCTTTTCACATGCGCCGATCCCAGCGCTGTAGCTGATGACGTCGGGCTCGAGCTTCGCCTCCCGCATCTCGCTCAGCAGTGCAAGCGCCGGCTGCCACTGCTCGCCCTTCTCGCACGCGCTGATCCCAGCATTGTAGCTGACTAGGGCAGAGCTGTGGACTCCGTCCACGACATCAGCTCGACGTGGCGAGGGTCTCTGGGCAAGCGCGGGGGGGTGCGGTTGCGGGTGAGGCCCTCGGAGCGTCCAACATTGTTCTTTTGTGCCTTCGATATGCAGGTGGCCTCTCGTCCGCTCCCCCCCTCCTGGAAGCAATTCTGAGGCCACTTAGGGCTTCGTGGGGGCCGTTTGGGGATCTCTTGGGGCGTTTTTGCCTGCGATATGCCTGTCGCCTCTCGTCCGCTCCCCCGCTCCTGGAGGGAATTCTGAAGCCACTGAAGGCTTCGTGGGGGCCGTTTCGGAGCCTCTTCGGCCTTCTTTTGGGCCTCCCGGGGGGGCTCTTAGGGCCCTCTCGGGCCGTCTTGGGTGCCTCTTGGGCCGTCTTGGGGCCGTCTGAGGCCCGCCTCGGCGCCTCTTGGGCTGTCTTGGGCCGTCTTGGGCCGCTCCTGGGGCCGTCTTGGGTGCCTCTTGGGCCGTCTTGGGCGCCTCCTGGGCCGTCCTGGGGCCGTCCTGGGGCGTCTTGGGACCGTCTTGGGGCCCTCCTGGCCCGTCTTGGGGCTCTCTTGGGGTCCTCTTCGGCCGTCTTGGAGCGGTCGGGGGGACTTCTTGGGCCGTCTTGGAGCGTCGGGAAGCCGAAGAGGCGAGGAGGCCGAAAACATCGAAAAACACAATAGAAATCGACGATTTCTGTCGCTCGGGGCCCTCTTGGGAGGCCTCTTGGGAGGCCTCTTCGGGCGTCTTGGACGCCTCTTGGGCCGTCTGGGGCGAATCTCGGGCGTCTTGGGCCCATCTTTAAGCGTGCCGGGGCTCTCCGGGGCCGTCTTGGGGGCTTCTGGGGGCCCTCTCGACATGTCCTGGAGCCTGCCTGGGCGGCCCGGGGCGGCCCGGGGCCAGCCCGGGGCGGTTTTGACTCATTGGAGCCTGCGCCCTTCTGGCACGCACTGGGCCCTGCAATGTAGTAGAGACTAGGGCTGACCCGCGGCCTTCCGACCGGGGAATCTGTCCGCCATGGCGTGGACGTGGAAGTGGAGCGTCTCCGGGGCCTCGCAAGTGAGGGGAGGGTGGACGGGACGGCGTGGATGGAGGAGGTGGCCGCTGGAGGGGGAGGTGGGCGAGGGATGCACGCAGGCAGGCCTGAAGGTAGAAACGCGGTGGTGGAGGCGGCGTCAGTGGAAGCACACCCATGCAGGCATGACGTGGTGTGGACAGAAGCTGTTTCCCACGCCGCAGTCTGTGTTCATCATAGCTTCGGCTGGGGAGGTAGCCGTGATAATTTTCTCTGCTCTTCGCCGGGGCCGAATGATAGTTAGCCCTGGTAGTGTGGTGGCAATGGGGCCGGTGGGCGCGGCTCAAGAGGCCCTCAAGAGGACAGCGAGACGGAACTCCCTGAGAAGGGCCCCAGTGCGAGGACAAGAATCGACTTTTCGAGCGCACCTCCCCAAGACGTCCCCAAATAGCGCCGAAATGGCTCCCTGAGGGTCCAAGAAGCCCCAAACACGACGCTGGAAGTTCGACGCTCCCCAAGAGAGAAGCATCCAAGGCCTCTCGGGGGCCGCTTGGGGGCCTCTTTTCGTCCTCCTGGGGGTGGGTCTCTCGGAGCCCTCTTGGGCCGTCTTGAGTGCCTCTTGGGCCGTCTGGGGGCGATGTGGGGCCGTCTAGGGCGCCTCTCGGAGCCGTCTCAGGGTCATTATTGGGCCGATGCTAAGTGCTCTTGGGGCTGTCTATGTGTTTCTGGAGCAGTCTCGGGCGCCTCTGGAGCCGTCCCGGGGCCGTCTCGGGCCGTTTGGGCGATCTGGGAGCCTGTACAGCCGTCTTCGAGACTGTGCAGACGGAAAGGCTTGGAGACGGGGCGGTGGGGGCCTGTACAGCCGTCTTTGAAACCGGGCGGTGGGGCCGTCTTGGGCCATTAGTGACTGCTCTTGGGGCTGCCTTGGGTGCGTCTTGGGCCGTCTCGGGCGCCTCTGGAGCCGTCGCGGGGCCGTTTGGGGGCGCTCCTGCGGGCCTCTGGGCGCGTCTTGGGGCGAGCTGGGGGGCTTGTATAGCCGTTTTGGTCGCTGCGAGGAGGAAAAAAAACATGCATTTACAAAAATGTGCGTTTCCCGCAGGGAATGGGACGATTTGGGCCTCTTGGGGCTCTCCTGAAAGCCCTCCTGGTCTGTCTTGGGAGCCTCCTGGCCTGAGCCTCAAGGGCTGTCTCGGGGCTCCCAAGGGTGCTGTGAGGCAGTCTTGGCGCCCCCTGGAGCCTCTCGGAGCCGTCCCGAGGCCGTTTCTGGGTCATCTTGGGCCCCCCTGGAGCCGTCTCGGAGCGTCCTGGAGGCTCTCAGGGCGGCCCGGAGGGCCTGGACCGCCACTCAAGACAGAGGACCGTCTCGCACGCGCGGATCCCTGCATTGTAAAAGAGATGACGTCGGGCTCCAGCTTCGCCTCCCAAATCTCGCTCAACAACGCCAGCGCCGGCTGCCACTGCGCGCCCTTCTCGCACGCGCTGATCCCAGCGCTGTAGCTGACCAGTGTGAACCCGCAGAAATTCCACGGCTGGCAGGTCAAGGTATTGGTCCCGAACGCGCATGTGTCGCCGACGCCTGCAGGTTTGCTCTAGGGTTTTGCAGGCTCCAGGCTCCGAGGCTGGTGACTGTCTTCGAGTGTCTTGGGAGGGTCTGGGCTATCTCGGAGTGGTCCCTGGACGGTTCTTGTGGCATCGAAGGCTTCCCGCAGTCCAGTCTCGCTGCAGCCTCTTGCAGGAGAAGGCGGAGGAGGAGAGCGGTACTGGAGATGGGGGGAGAGCAGGCTCCGAGAGGGGGAAGCGAAGCTGTGGGTCTTCAAGAGCTCTGAGGGCTCAGAGGTCCGGAACACGCACGTGAGGCTCTCGAGAAGGTCAGGGGGAGCTCAGAGAGGTCCAGGGTTCAGGCTGGGGTCCGGGGCGTGGTGCGCCTGGGGTACGACAGGAGGCGCTTGAGAGGGTCTGAGGCAGCTCAGAATGGCCTAGGGCTCAAGGTGGTGTGCGCGGCAGGTTAGAGTGGTCGGAGTGGTCTGGGCGCCAGGGTGGGGTCTGGAGCGTGGTGCGGCTGTGGAGCGACACTCTCTGGGAGGCCGTCTTGGGCCGAGCTGGGGGCGAGGGAGCCGTCGGCGAGCGGCCCAGGGGCCTTCTGGAGGTGTCGGGGGCTCGGTGTGGGGTAGGGGGCTTGGTTTGGGGCTTGCGAGAAGTCGTCTTGGCGAGATCTGGGGGTCGTGGAGTCGTCGGCGAGCGGTCCAGGGGCCTTCTGGGGCCGTCGGGGAGCGTCCTGGAGGCTCTCTGGAAGGCCGTCTTGGGCCGCGCTGGGGCCTGGGAGCCGCGCTGGTGGAGTCAAAATCGGCGAGAAGTCTTGGGGCTCGGAGGACGTGGCTGGGGTCTTCTGAAACAGCGTCCAGGGCTTCTTGGGGCGTCTTGGGGGCATCTTGGGATCTCGGGCCGTTTCGGAGGTCGCTTTGGGCGCGCTCGGGCAGGATCTGGGGCCCAGTTGGGGCCGACTCGGGGGTCACTTGAAGCTCTCTTGGGCCATCGGGGCCCTCTTGGGCCGTCTACGGGCCTTCTTGGGCCGTCTGGGGGCCCTCCTTGGGCCCTCTTGGACTGTGCAAGGCCAGCCGTTGTAAGCCCCTAGGGCCAGCCGATGTAAGCCCGAAATGGCGGGAACAGGAAAACACTCGAAACCTTCGGAAAACGCACAAAGATTGCCTCTTGGCGCCGTCCACGCGATCTTCGGGGGCCGTCTCTGAAGCCTTTTTGAGCCGTCATGGGGCTCCAGTCGGGTCGGCTTCGGTCCTCTTGGGCGTCTGTGAAGCCGTCTTGGAGCGGTCTGGGGGTCCTGGAACCGTCGGCGAGCGCTCCAGGGGCCTCCTGGGGCCGTCGAGGAACGCCCCGGAGGCTCGGCTCTCTGGGCGGCCCGCGGGCTCTCTGGGCGGCCCGGGGGCGCTGCCACTGCTTCTGGTACTCACACGCGCTTCGCCCGGAATTGTAATACAGATGATGTCGGGCTCCAGCTTCGCCTCCCACATATCGCTCAGCAGCGCAAGCGCCCGCTGCCACTGCCCGCCCTTCTCACACGCGCTGATCCCAGCATTGTAGCTGAATAGGGCTGACCCGTGGACTCCGTCCACGACATCCTGCCGAAATGGTTCCAGGGGAAGCGGCGAAAATGCTGCCGAAAGGCTATCCACATGCCGGCGCGCCGCCGGCGCCTGACCAGTGGTTGGGGCCCACACTCCGTCGAACTGGCGTGGCGTCCCGCGGGCCTGCACAGCCAGTCGCAGCCGAGGAAGGGGGGGGCAGAGCTGTCAGAATCGGCCCCTGGGCCCCCCCCACTGGCGAAGCGCACCAGTGTTGTCTGCTGCGTCCAGCCATGGCGGCGAGGAGCCCTCCTGAAAGCAAACTGTCTGTGTGAGAACTCGGCCTCCGCCGATTTCGTCTGGCCTGAGCCTGGGCGGAGGCTGGCATCCTCTCTGCGTCCATCGCCTGGGCCGCCTCTCGGAAGCACGCCCAGATCCTGTGACACCCAAACACCTCGCGGCGCTGCGCCGCGCGAGGCCCGGTAACCTTCGCGCCCTTGTGCCCGCACCCTCGGAGACGGGCAGCGCTCCGTATGCAGCCACGAGCCGTGTGAGGGGTGCGCCGAGCTGGAAGGTAGAACCGCTGCGCGCCTTTCTCTGACACAATATTGGTTTCCCCTCCACCCTCCATCTCCGCAGAAACGAAACCCAGAATTCCAGATAAAGCGCCACAGCGCAGGTTCGCGAAAGACGTCTCGCCAGAACCCTGGAGCCCACCTGGGACCTCGGAGAATCCGCCGACCCTGTTGGCGTGTGGATGGAAAAGGCTGCTCAGTTTGACTCGTCGTCGTCGTCGTCGTCGTCGTCGTCGTCGTCGTCGTCGTCGTCGTCGTCGCCTTCGCCGCTCGCTTCTCCCCTTTTCCCTAGGCCCGTCGCCGTTCCCCCCACTTTCACCGGGTTCTCCTCCTCGAGCGCGCCAGCCACAGCGAACTTGAGCAACGTTGTAGTTGAGTCGAAGGGAAGCCCCTTCCCTTTGATCCCTTCCCCGCCGGGAGGTTCCCGGGGGTGAGGTCCCGGAGGGGGTCCTGGGGGGGTCCCGGGGGAGGGGTCCCGGGGCAGATACGACTCCCCCTCGGGCGGTCGGGCGGCCAAGAAAAGCCGCGGGTCGCTGCAAAACTGCCCCAAGATGCCCCCAAGACGGTCCTTGAGGGCCCCGAATCGCCGAAGTATCGGTCCAAGTCGCCAAAGTAGCCTCCAGACGGCTCAAAAGTTTCCAAAACGCCCCAAGAGGCCTCCAAGAGGACTTCCAAGAGGGTCTCAAGGGGCAAAAACAATCGATTTCCCGAAATTGTTTGAAAGAATTCGGCAGTCTCGCCTTGTCAGCCTCCCGACGCTCCAAGACAGGCCAAGAAGCCCCCAAGACCGCCCCAAGATGGCCCAAGAGGCCTCCAAGAGAGCCCCAAAACGACCCAAGAGGGCCCCAAGACCGACCAAGAGGCCTCCAAGACAGCCAAAGAGGCCCCCAAGACGGCTCGAAGGAGGAGCCCAGACGGGGGACGACCCGAACGGACATTTCGAGCCCTCGGCCTGAGAAGCTCTCAGGAGGGCCCCAGAGGTCCCTAAGAAGCCCCCCAAGAAGCCCCAAGAAGCCCCTAAGAGACCTCCAAGAAGCCCCAAGAGGCCCCCACCAGGCTTCCAAGCAGCCCCCAAGAGCTTCCCAAGAGGCTCCCAAACTACCCCCAAAGAGGCCCCCGAGAGCGCTCGTCGTCGTCGTCGTCGTCGTCGTCGTCGTCGTCGTCGTCGTCGTCGTCGTCGTCGTCGTCGTCGCCAAACAGGGTCGGCGGCACCGGCCGTAAGGCCTTCGCAGTAAACCTCGAGCGTGGTGTATATTTTCCGTCGACGTGGCGGGCCGAAGGATGGTCTTGGGGGGCGTTTTCTCGGCCGACCGCGGGACCCTGGAGAATGGCCTCCGAGGTTACGGAATCTTTTTCGTGGGTGTCGTTGATCCACGAACGATCCGTGCGAGACGTCTGTGCCCCATCTGGAGCCTGGGGGGAAACCGTCAGAGTTGGTACCGGCATTCCGTGGACGTGGCGTGCCGACGAACGTCCTGGGCGAGGGTTGGTTGCTCAGCCCCAGGGCGTCGGAAAATAAACCTCCAAGTCTGGGTTTATTTTCCGTGGGTGTGGCCGCGCCCTGGGTCATGCATTGGGAGGGCACAGACGGAACACCGCAGAAACGAAACCCAGAACTCCAGAGTAAGCGCCAAAGCGCAGGTTGACGAAAGACGTCTCTCCAGAACCCTTTTGCCCACCTGGGACCTCGGAGAATAAACCTCGAGCGTGGTGTTTATTTTCCGTCGACGTGGCGGGCCGAGGAGTGGTCTTGGGGGGCTTTGTTTTGGGCCGACCGCGGGACCATGGAGAATGGCCTCCGAGGTTACGGAGTCTTTTTCGTGGGCGTCATTGATCCACGAACGATCCAGGCGAGAGGTCTGTGCCCCATCTGGAGCCTGGGGGGAAGACTTCGAAGTAGGTACTGGCATTCCGTGGACGTGGCGAATCGACGAACGTCCTGGGCGAGGGTTGGTTGCTCAGCCCCAGGGCGTCGGGAAAGAAACTTCGAAATCGGGGTTCATTTTCCGTGGGTGTGGTCGCGCCCCGGAGCTTCTGTTCCGCCTTGTACGTTGGGCCGTCTGGCGGCCTCCTGGGAGCCTCTTGGGGCCCTCTTGGGCTGTCTTCGGTGCCCGTTGGGCCGTCTTGGGGCCGTCTGGGACCGTCTTGGGCGGCTCCGGGGCTGTGCTCGGACTGCCTTGGGGCTCTCTTGGGTCGTCTTTGGCCCCTCTTGGGGCTGTCATGGGAGCCTCTTGGGCCGTCATGGGCGCCTCAGGAGCCGTCCTGGGACCGCATTGGGCCGTCTTGGAGACCTCCTGGGCCCTCTTGTGGCGATCCTGGGAGACAATATTGTCGTCTTGGGCGCTTTGAAAACGGAAGGCACGGGAATTGTCAAAATGAACGTTTTCCTTAAGGATTTGGAAGATGTTTCCTCGTTCGGGCTCTCTCGGGGCTCTTCTTGGAGCCCACTTGGAGCAATTTGGGCGCCTCTTGGGCCGTCTTGAGGCTATCTTGGGCGTCTTCGAGCGCTCTTGGACCATCTCCTCCCTTGGACCGTCTTTGGGCGTCTTGGGGTCGTCTCGGGGAGTTCCGATAGGGTCTCGGAGCGCTCTTGGGCCTTCCTGGAAGCGCGCCGAGGCCAGCTGGGGCTCGCGGGGGCCCGCAGGCCCCGCAGGGGGCTCAGGAGGAATGTGTCCGACCCCCGCCCTTCTCGCACGCGCGGGGCCCTGCAATGTAGTAAAGAAGACTACGGCTGACCTGTGGACTACGTCAACGGCAAGCAGCCTGATCAGATCATCATCCGCCCGGCGGCCACGAAAGTTTACTCGCATGCCAGGGTGAGAACTGCTTGTGTAGTTGACGTCCTACCCGCAATCCTGCAAGCGAAGTTGCTTGCCTGGTGGCCTGCATCACGTGGCCTGCTCGCCTGATTTCGTTGCTGCTTGCTTCATAGCTTGCTCATCCGCTCGCTGCCGCCTACTGCCTAGAGGCGTCTGGAGGTAATATTGTCAGGAGGCCGACTTCGAGGCACGTCGGGCTACTCCGAGGCCGTGAGAGGTTATGCCAGTGCGGAAGGTGCCAGGAGCCAGGAAAAAGGGGCGAGGAGCAGTGAGGGGAGATGAGCAAGAAGCTAAGAGAGAGGGGCGATGAGCAATTGCAGTGAGCAAAGAGCAAGGAGCTTGGAGCGAATAGGAAAGAGAGAGGGTTGAAGAGCGACGAGCACACGGGTCTCCCAAAGGACTCGGCGCGCGCGTGGCCGAACACTTCGTCTCTTCTGAACTAGGTCGCTTGCTCGCCCTTCTCGCACGCGCTGATCCCAGCACTGTAGCTGATGATGACTAGGGCGACCCCGTGGACTTCGTCCACGTCATCTTGGGCCAGTCTTGGCTGGAAAAGGCCGTCTTGGGCCTGTCTTCGCTCGAAATGGCGAGAAGGTGGAAATTTATCAGAAACCATAGAAGAATCAATAATTTCGTTTGCCGCGGCTAGTCTGGAGCGTTTTCGAGCGGTCTTGGGCCGTCTCGGCGGCCCTCTTGGACCGCTTCCTTCTATTCGTCCGCCTTCCGCTCTACGTCCGCCTAGACAGCCTTCGGAGCGTCACAGACGGCTATGGTGGGTCTGCGGTGTACGTCTCGCCGCCTGTCAATTTTGAAAGCACCTGGGGCCTTGAAAAAAATCACCCAGAAGGCTCTGGTGACTTTTTTCCGGTTGCCTCTTCGAAACCTGATGGCGGGCGCTGCCGTCTCCTTGGGAACGGTTAGTGGGCCTCTCGGAGTTTCTTTTCGAGCTCCTGGGGGCCTGTTGGGGCCTCTTTGGCTGTCTTGCGGCCTCCTAGGGGCCTCTTGGGGACCTCTTGGGCCGTCTTGCGGCCTCCTGGGGGCCTTTTCTCCTGAAGTTTTTGTTGGGCGACTCTGGAGCCGTTCCCGGGCTGTCCCCCCGAGCCTCTTCCGGGGGACAGCCCAGGAAATCTATTGTGCTGACGTGCTGTGCGTGCGTGCTCCTGTGTGAGAGGTCGGAAGGGTGTCCCGACGTCACCGCTCGCTCTTGGGAGCTGTGCCTGGGAAAGCTCTCTACGCTGCGTCTCGCTCTTGGGAGCCTTGGTAAGAAAAGTGTTGTACTTCACCGATCGCTCTTTTAGTGGGCGTCTCTGGGCCTGCTTGGTGGTCCTTGTGGGGGCCTTTTTCGGGCCATTCTGACGTTTTTGGGGGCTGCTCTGGGAGCGTTTTGGGACGTTTCCGAGCCTTTTTGGGCCGTCACGGGGCGTCCGGGAGGCCTTGGGCCGTCTTGGAGCTCTCTTGAGGCTGCCTGAGGCCGTCTTGGGAGCCTCTTGGGGCCCCCTCGGAGCTCTCTTGGGGCCGTCTTGGTGTTCTATGAGGCCGTTTCAGGGCTCTCTGGCGTCGTCTTGGAGCTCTTGTGGGCCGTCTTGACACCCTCTTAGGGGCCGCTGGCGTCTTCTTGGGGCGATTTGGGAGGCCTCTTGGCGTGTCCTGGGCCGCTGAGGAGCACACAAGGCGGGCATGCTGAAAATATACATTTCCCATCGGAATTTGACGATTTGCGCCTCTTTGGCGTGCGCTCGGGGCCCTCTTGGGGCGTCTTTGCGGCCTCTTGAATCGTCGTGGAGCCCCCCCCCGAAGGCTTCGGGCCCTCGTGGGCCGTCTCGGGACCCACTGAGGCCGTCTTGGAGCGCTCTTGGACGGTCTGGGACCCCTCTGGAGCGCCTCTGGGACCGGCCTGAGCGATTCGGCTCCGTGGTGGCGTAAAGGTACGATTTTGTGCACACAAGGCCCTGTGAACCTATCTCGCACGCAGATCCACTGGCCATGTAGGAGTGATGACGTTGGGCTCCAGCTTCGCCTCCCACATCTCGCTCAGCAGTGCCAGCGCCGGCTGCCATTGCCCGCCCTTCTCGCACGCGCTGATCCCAGCGCTGTAGCTGATGACGTCGGGCTCCAGCTTCGCCTCCCACATCTCGCTCAGCAGCGCAAGCGCTCGCTGCCACTGCTCGCCCTTCTCGCACGCGCTGATCCCAGCATTGTAGCTGACGAGCTGACCCGCGGCCTCCGGCCGCGGAATTTGCTCGCCCTGGCGTGGACGTGGAAGTGGAGCGTCTCTGGGGCCTCGCGGGTAAGGGGAGGTTGGACGGGACGGCGTGGAGGGAGGAGGTGGCCGCTGGAGGGGGAGGTGGGCGAGGGATGCAGGCAAGCAGGCCTGAAGGCAGGAACGCGGTGGTGGAGGCGGTGTCAGTGGAAGCACACCCATGTAGGCATGACATGGTGTGGGCAGAAGCTGTTTCTGACGCCGCAGTCTGTGTTCATCATAGCTTCTGCGGGGAAGGTAGCCGCGAGAAGTGTAGCTGCTCTTCGCGGGGACCGAATGATTTTTTCATCTGGCAGTGTGGTGACAATGGGGCCAGTGGGCGCGGCCTAGGAGGCCCGCAAGAGGGCAGCGAGACGGAACTCCCTCAAAAGGGCCCCAGTGCGAGGACACGAATCGATTTTTCGAGCGCACCTCCCCAAGACGTCCCCAAATAGCGCAAAGATGGCCCCCAGAGGGTCCAAGAAGCCTCCAAAACGATGTTGGAAGTTCGACGCTCCCCAAGAGAGAAGCATCCAAGGCCTCTCGGGGGCCGCTTGGGAGCCTCTTTTCGTCCTCCTGGGGGTGGGTCTCTTGGAGCCCTCTCGGGCAGTCTTGAGTGCATCTTGGGCCGTCTTGGGGCGATGTGGGGCCGTCTTGGGCGCCTCTCGGACCATCTTGGGACCATCTTGGGGCCATCTTTGGCCAATATTGGGCGCTACTGGGGCTGTCTTTGGTGTTTCTTGAACCGTCTCAGGCGCCTCTGGAGCTGTCCCGGACGGCCCAGAGACCGTCTTTGAGACTGTCCAAACAGAAAAGCTTGGATACGGGGCGGCGGGGGCCTCTACAGCCGTATTGGAGACGGGGCGGTGGAGCCGTCTTGGGCAATTTTTAACTGCTCTTGGGGCTGTCTTGGGTGCGTCTTGGGCCGTCTCGGGCGCCTCTGGAGCCGTCCCGGGGCAGTGCGTGGCCCTTTGGGGGCCCTCATGGGGGCGTCTGGGCGCGTCTTGGGGTGAGCTGGGGGGCCTGTATAGTCTTCTGGACGGTGCGAGGACGAATAAGCTATGTATATATATATACACACACACATTGAAAATCTACGTTTCCCGTCGGGACTGACGGTTTGGGCCTCTTGGGGCTCTCCTGGAGGCCCTCCTGGGCCGTCGTGGGAGCCTCCCAAGGGTGCTCTGAGGCAGTCTTGGCGCCCCCTGGAGCCTCTCGGAGCCATTCTTGGCTGCTCTTGGGGCTGTCTTGGGTGCGTCCTGGGCCGTCTGGGCGCCTCTGGCCGTCCCCGTGCATATATATATATTATATATATATATATATATATATATATATATATATATATATATATATATATATATATATATATATATATACATATATATATATATATATATATATATATATAATGAAAATGTACGTTTCCCGTCGGGAATGGGACGGGTTGGGCCTCTTGGGGCTCTGCTGAAGGCCCTCCTGGGCCGTCTTGGGAGCCTCCTGGCCTGCCTTAGGGGGCCTCTGGGGCTGTCGTGGGGCCCCCAAGGGTGCTCTGAGGCCGTCTTGGCGCCCCCTGGAACCTCTCGGAACCGTCTTGCTGGCCATTCTTGGCTGCTCTTGGGGCTGTCTTGGGTGCGTCCTGGGCCGTCTGAGGCGCCTCTGGAGCCGTCCCGGGGCAGTGCGTGGCCCTTGGGGCGCCCCCATGGGGGCCTCTGGGCGCGTCTTGGGGCGAGGTGGAGGGCCTCTATAGCCGTCGTGGACGCTGCGAGGACGAAAAAGCAAGATACTATATACGATATATATATATATAGTATATAGTATATAGTATACATATATATGTATTGAAAGTACACGTTTCCCGTCGGGACTGACGGTTTGGGCCTCTTGGGGCTCTCCTGGAGGCTCTCCTGGGCCGTCGTGGGAGCCTCCTGGCCTGCCTTGGGGGCCCCTGGGGCTGCCTTGGGGCTCTCAAAGGTGCTCTGAAGCCGTCTTGGCGCCCACTGGAACCTCTCGGAGCCGCCCCGTTGACCATTCTCGGCTGCTCTTGGGGCTGTCTTGGGTGCGTCCTGGGCCGTCGGGGCCGTGGGTGGCCCTTTGGGGGCCTCTGGGCGCGTCTTGGAGCGAGGTGCGGGGCCTGTATAGCCGTTTGGGGGCCCTCATAGGGGTGCTCTGGCGGCGTTTTGGGGCGATCGGGAAGGCCTGTATAGCCGTCTTGGACGCGGTGAAAACGAAAAGAACGAGCAGATCAAAAATGCACGTTTTCGAAAGCGAATGGGGCAATGTTTGCCTCTTGGGTCCCTCTGGGGGTCCTGGCTTGGGGTCCTCTGGGACCGGTGGTTTGGGCGCCTCTTGGGCCATTTTGGGGTTCCTGGGGCCGTCTGGGGACGCGTTTGGAGGCCTGTTCGGTCGTCCTGAGGCGGTCTTGCGGGTGTCTTCGGCCGTCTTCGAGTGTTGGCTAGTCGAGAAGGCGAGAAGGCAAAATTCTTGTAAAACCATTAAAAATAAAGGATGCTGGCCTCAGGGGGCATGCTTCGGGGCACTGTTGGATGCTCTTGGAGGCCTCTTGGAGGGGTCTTGGGGCCTTGTGCGGGCGCATTGGGGCCACGGGCTCGGAATGTCATGGTTTTTCCCGGTTCTTAGGTTCCCTCTTGGGCCTGGCTTGGGGTCTTCTGGGGCCAGCTTGGGCGCCTCTTGGGCCATCTTGGGGCGCCCTGGGCCGTCTGGGGACGCGCTCGGAGGCCTCGTGGGCCGTCCTGGGGCGGTCTTGTGGGTCTCTTCGGCCGTCTTGGAGCGTCGGCTAGCCGAGAAGGCGAGAAGGCAAAACTCCATCAAAAACCATTGCAAAGTTAAGGATTCGGGCCTCTGGGGGCATGCTGCGGAGTACTGTTGGAAGTTCTTGGAGGCCTCTTGGGGGGGTCTTGGGGCCTTTTGTGGGCACATGGGGGCCCAGGGCTTGAAATGTTAGGGTTTTTCCTCGTTCTTTGGCCCCCTCTGGCTTGGGGTCCTCTGAGGCCGGCTTGGGCGCCTCTTGGGCCATCTTGGGGCTCCATGGGCCGTCTGGGGACGCGCTTGGAGGCCTGTCGGGCCGTCCTGTGGCGGTCTCGTGGGTCTCCTCGGCCGTCTTGGAGCGTCGGCTAACCGAGAAGGCGAGAATGCAAAACTCCTTCAAAAACCATTGAACAACTAACACGTTGGCCTCTGGGGGCATGTTTCGGCGCGCTTTCGGGGGGGAGGGCTCGATTTGTGACGCTCGGAGGCAAGGATCTGCGTGAAGGGTGTCGAAACAATGCCCTCCAGGGAGCGCATCGGTGCACGACCTTCTGGCACGCGCCGATGTCCGCCATAAAGAAGAAGAGGTGACGTCGGGCTCCAGCTTCGCCTCCCACATCTCGCTCAGCAGCGCCAGCGCCGGCTGCCACTGCCCGCCCTTCTCGCACGCGCTGATCCCAGCGTTGTAGCTGATGACGTTGGGCCCCAGCTTCGCCTCCCACATCTCGCTCAGCAGCGCCAGCGCCCGCTGCCACTGCCCGCCCTTCTCGCACGCGCTGATCCCAGCGCTGTAGCTGACTGACTAGGGCGTGCCCGTGGATTAAATCCACGGTGTGCTGAACCCCGATCGCGCACACCGAGACTGGGAGCCGCTGAAGCCGAATGGGAACAGCTGGTCGGACGTCTCGTGCGGTGTGAGGAGGTGGAGGGAGGCAGGTGAGGCGGAAGCGCAGATGGCGGGTCTGGCGCGCAAGACGACGGGTTCCCTCGTAGCGCACACGGCGATGGCGACGGCGACGGCGAAGGCAACGGCGGCGGTGACGGCGGAGGCTGCAGGCGCGTGCGCGCACGAGCTGGCGGGCTCGTGCGAGTCGGCCCACCCGAACGACGACGACGACGTCGCCGCTGCCATCGAGGTGGTTTTCCATGGGTCTTTCCCGTTCGCCCCCCCCGTAACCATCAGAATCGCATGGCTTTTGCTATATTTCACAAATGGCGCTTATCAGAAGCATTCAATGCACAGCCGCCCGGGCAACGCCTGCAGCGTAAACATGTTGAAATGTCCTTGGGTTTGATATCAATCGGGGGGGGGCGCACGACTAAAACGCAGTAGAACAGACGACGAAGGCGGAGGAGGAGGAGGAGGAGGAAGAAGAGGAGGATGGTCAATCGAATTCAGTCGTGGAGCCAGAGGATTAGGACGGAGGGGGAGGAGAAGGGAGAGGAGGAGGAAGAGGAGGAGGAGGAGGAGTTGGAGCAGCAGCAGCACCAGTCCAGGAGGAGGGCTCGGTCCTGGGGGGGCTACAGAAGCGCCGCCCGCCCCTCTCGAGGCGCTCGGTGTGACTACAGAAACGCTCCGATCCTTCCCCCGAGGCGCTCGGTGTGACAGGGTTGCCCCTCCTCGACTCATTCTAAGTTGGTCTTGTGATCGTCTTTAAAGAGATGGAGGTATGAGTAGAAGAAGAAACGCGTCGGTGGGGCATCGATGTCCATCAGGGTTCGGACAAGGTTCCCCGGCAGCGCGTGCTGGCCGCGGAGTCTGGCAATGAAGTGGGATCGATGGAGAGGGTCCCAGGGAACCTGCGGCCCAAATAAAAAATCGTTGAATTCATGATGCACTGTCCCGTGTGTCCCTTGCAATCGCCTGAAACGCATGGTGTTTTCGAGAATTGCCCGAACCTGTCGTATTTGCAGGGTGCTTTCGACGATGTGGTCGGGGCGGCGCCAGCAGCGAAATGCACATTTTCCTAATGAATTTGGGCCGATTCGCAAGGACACACGGAAAAAGCATTGGATTTCGGAGGTATGTGCGGCGATGTCATGGAGGGGCCCATGTGGAAGCTTTCAAAGCCTGCGGGGGTCCTTTTGGCAATGTCGCGGGGCTCTAGGGAAAGTCGTGGCGGTCCCAAAGATAGCCCGCCCTGGTAGAACGCACTCGAGGTGTTCCAAGAGAACTCGAAAATGATCCTCGGAGAGCTCCGAATGTCCGAAGAAACCTCGAAAAGCATGTGGGAGAACAGTGGCCCACCGCCCAGAAAGCACCTGGTGGATGCTACAAGGAGGGGGTGCGTTGCAGTATCCATTTGGTCGCCGATTCGGGCTCTCTGGGAGCCCTCGTCGAGCCGTGTCGGGAGTCCTTGGGGGATGTCGGGGGCCTCTTGGGGCTCTCTTGGGCCGGCGTGGGGCCGTCATGGACAGTCTTGGGGCACTATCGAGCCGTCTTGGGATTCCCTGGGGGGGTCTCGGGGGCCTCTTGGGGCCGTCTTGGGCCGGCTTGGGGCCGTCTTGGGCAGTCTTGGGGCGCTCTTGGGCCGTCCTGGGGCCTTCTTGGGGGCCTCATGGTGGGTCTCGGGGGGGCCGTCTGGGGCCAGCTTGGGGCCGTTTTGGGCAGTCTTGGGAGCTCTTGAGCCATCCTGGGGCCTTCTTGGGGGCCTCATGGTTGGTCTCGGGGGCCTCTCGGGGCCCTCTTGGGCCGGCTTAGGGCCGTCTTGGGCAATCTTGGGAGCTCTTGAGCCATCCTGGGGCCTTCTTGGGGGCCTCATGGTTGGTCTCGGGGGCCTCTCGGGGCCCTCTTGGGCCGGCTTAGGGCCGTCTTGGGCAATCTTGGGAGCTCTTGAGCCATCCTGGGGCCTTCTTGGGGCCTTAATAATGGTCTTGAAACGATTCGCGGCGCCTTTGGAGCCGTTCCGGCTCGAAGAAGCCCGAAGCGGGAAAATCATCAAAAACCAATGGATTATCCCGGCAAAGCAACCTAACAGCGATGTGTAGGAGCATATCTGGAAGCATTCCCCTTAAGATTCAGATGAGAATCCAGTTGTAGAATTCTGCTGTTCTCGCAGTCGTTGTCGCATTCGCGATGACAGTCGCAGTGGCAACGGCAGTCGCAGTCACAGCCTCAGCCTCAGCCTGCCTCAGCCTCAGCCTCAGCCTGCCTCAGCCTCAGCCTGCCTCAGCCTCAGCCTCAGCCTGCTTCAGCCTCAGCATCAGTCTGCCTTCAGCCTCGGCCTCAGCCTTAGCCTGCCTCAGCCTCAGCCTGCATCAGCCTCAGCCTCAGCCTCAGCCAGCCTCAGCATCAGCCTGCCTCAGCCTCAGCCTCAGCCTCAGCCTCAGCCTCAGCCTGCTTCTCAGCCTCAGTCTGCCGTCGGCCTCGGCCTGAGCCTCAGCCTGCCTCAGCCTCAGCCTGCATCAGCCTCAGCCTCAGCCTCAGCCTCAGCCTCAGCATCAGCCTGCCTCAGCCTCAGCCTCAGCCTGCAGCCTCAGCCTGCTTCAGCCTCAGCCTCAGTCTGCCTTCAGCCTCGGCCTCAGCCTCAGCCTGCCTCAGCCTCAGCCTCAGCCTCAGCCTCAGCCTGCCTCAGCATCAGCCTGCCTCAGCCTCAGCCTCAGCCTGCCTCAGCCTCAGCCTGCAGCCTCAGCCTCAGCCTGCTTCAGCCTCAGCCTCAGTCTGCCTTCAGCCTCGGCCTCAGCCTCAGCCTGCCTCAGCCTCAGCCTGCATCAGCCTCAGCCTCAGCCTCAGCCTGCCTCAGCATCAGCCTGCCTCAGCCTCAGCCTCAGCCTGCCTCAGCCTCAGCCTCAGCCTGCTTCAGCCTCAGCCTCAGTCTGCCTTCAGCCTCGGCCTCAGCCTCAGCCTGCCTCAGCCTCAGCCTGCATCAGCCTCAGCCTCAGCCTCAGCCTGCCTCAGCATCAGCCTGCCTCAGCCTCAGCCTCAGCCTGCCTCAGCCTCAGCCTCAGCCTGCTTCAGCCTCAGCCTCAGTCTGCCTTCAGCCTCGGCCTCAGCCTCAGCCTGCCTCAGCCTCAGCCTG